GGAGGTAACAGTGCCACGGGGCACAGGGGTCAGCAGAACGGGGCTTTGGGAGTGCCTCCAGGGATGGGCCCCACTGTCCCAGAGCGCCTTCTTAAAGCAGCGGGAGATGCCCTAGCTGAGGAGTACGGATTGTTAACCTCGGTCTTCAGGCCTGTATACTGATGCCTGAAAAATGCAACCCTTGTGACATCTTTCTTTTGCCAAGGTTCTGGGAGAAGGAGAAGTGAAGGGTTGGGCCCCATTTCTGTCTTGGAATTCACAAGTCCTTCCGCCTCATGAGTTTTGGCTGTTGGGCCTTTCCCCCCACTAATTAAAAGTTTTGCTGGGGCGTTGTCATAAATTAAATACTTTAATGAACGGTGTAACCAAAGCCCATGTTCTGCAGCCAGCCCCCCCGGGACTCCGCCGCTCCCTGAAGTCGGGAGGCGTTGCTGCCTGCCCGGTGCCTGTCTAATAAGTGGCCTGCAAAGCATGTGATATTTTGCTTTCGATTTACAAAACACCAGATAAATGGTCATTAATGAGGAGATAACCGGCTCTCTGTATTTGTAACAAACGTTAACTGAAATTCCCAAGCTCTGTTTTCTCAAAGAATGTAACTTGACTGGGCTTTTGGCATCAGGACCCAGAATTCTTTCATGAGGTTTGCCCTGTAAGGGGCCATCCCCGCCTGCCCCGTTTTTGTTTCTCCTTCTGTAGCCTTCCAATCTGGAGGGATTCCTTGCAAGAGAGAAAGACCAGTCACCTTGGCCCCAGGAGTAAAGATTGCTAGGGGTGAATAAATGCTCCCAGAAACCTCCTAAAACTGTAGAACAGAAGGGCCACAATTCTCCCGGGTTTCCTGCAGAGATATCAGGATAAATCTGTTCGCAGGATTCAGGCGGTCCTTCTGCCAGGCCAGGACCTCATTTGCAGTGAGTGGAGTGATATATTTATTCATTAGCAAGTGTTGACATTAGGTAGCAAAATGTGTGTAAACAGAGAAGCCACAAAGACAGGAATGTGCCATTTCCAAGGGGGAGAAAAAGTTTTCCAGATCAGCCAATAGGAAGTGATTAACCTGCCAATCGGAAACTCAAACAGCTGGTTACTCACCCAAAACGTTTTGTTTAAAACCAAACAAGAAAGGGAATGAAAAAAGGCCCTGTCGTGGAAGGACGTGAGGTGGTACAGGCCATGCCCCTGTGGAAGGAACTGTCCCGACTTGCTGGAGGGCAGCCAGGTCTGGGAACCGTGGGGCTAGGGACAGGTCTGGGGCCGGTTTTGCCGGCTGCTGTGGCCAGGGCCAGGGCCGTTGAGGTCACACACACAGATGGGATGCTGTCCCCGCTTTTCGTCTTCACCTTGTACATGGGAGGAGAGTACTTGGCTGGGAAATTCAGATCAGCTGCTTGCTTTCTTGAGTGTGTGAGCCCCAGGTTGAAGTTTTGGTCTGGGGTGACTAGGTGAGAACCAGGAGCCAGGTTTTATAATGGACAGCTGTTAAAATCTTAACTGGCTACACAACGAAGGGAATCCCTTCTGTGAAGTCTCCAGCTTGGGAAGAGGTGGTGGGAAGGGAACTGGGGAAGGGACCTGGGTGCTAGGCGGTCCCAAACCAGTAGGATCTTCCGGGAAGGGTTAGACATACCTGAACCAAAGGGCAAGGTGGCTGTGACTTGTGACTATCTGAAGTCAAGAAGGCTCCTTCCTCTCCCGCAAGGGATAGGAACATGCTGTTCGAAAGTAGAACTTATGTTGTGGGGGGCGGGGGGGATGCTGAGGGGTTGCTATGTGGGCCCTGCTCCCTGTGTCCTCTGTATCTGATGGTGTGCAAGACTTCCCAGAATGGCTGGAGTTGAGGATGTTGCTGGGGACACTGTATTTGCTTAGGCCAGGGTCCCAGGTGACCAGCACCCATTTGGTAGATCAAGCCTCCAAAGGGTAGTTGAGAAGTCTGGGATCTAGGCCTGCCTGCTTTTACCTCTTAACTCACCGTCTCCTAATTTTTCTGGGCCTCTGTAAGTCTAGTTGATCAAAGAGTTAAGAGTTAGATGATTCATTCATTTGCTCATTTATTGGCTCGTTCATTCATTCTACAGGCCTAATGATGTGCCTGCCTGAAAATGTGGATGATTCCCATGCAGTGGATTGTGCTCTATCCAGGGTTCATGGGAGCTGTGGATTGGGGCAGAAGCTGGGACATTGAGCGTGTGGTTGGGGGAGCGGGGCTGGGGCTCCTTGGGCCCCGGTGGCTCTTGGGAAGCTCAGAGCTATGTTGACGAGAATATCTGAGCTCTCCTGGAACCATTCTCTTGGTGAGAGGAATAGAATCCCCAGCCCCTTCACCTTGTGCTCCTTGCACAGCTCATTCCTTGGCTGGTCCCCAGGCTTGCGTCTTCAAGGATTGTCTTTTTCTCCCAGAGAACCCAGCACTTACTGGGTGCTTGGTAATGTTTAACGGTGGATAAGAGCCAGGAATGGCCTAGAGCCTAGAGTGTGTGCATCCTGGGCCCTGGAGAGCTGGGGACACGGGCAGAGGCTGAGACACTGGCTTTGGACCTCTGTCTCTGGGTGAGGGCTGGGGGTGTGGCCTCTTGGACCTTTACGAGCCCTGCAGTAGCTTGAGGAGGCCAGTCTGGATGCTGAGGCCGTCTGGGCCTAACTACCTGCAGGGAAGAGTGAGGACTTGGGCCCCTGGGGAGGGAGAGCTGTGGGATGGGCTGGATGAGCGCTCAACTCTTGCTCACGGCCCAGCTCACTGGGTGGCCCCCTGGGCTAGTCAGTGACGCCTCAGTTTACCAAGGTGCGGGTCCAACAGGTATACTTTAGTACTTCACAGAGGTGGCGGGGAGGCCTAATTAATGTTTGTAAATCCCTCTTGAGATCAAAGGCTCTGCAGAAGGGCAGAGCACCATTTCATAAAAACGCTTGTGGTTGCCGGAGCTGGCTTACCTTTGATCTGAGACAGGCTGACACCTTGAATGTGGTCCCAGCTCTGCCCTGAGATGCCAGGCTCTTCCTTTGAAACCCACTTTGCCCCTGGGATTCAGCCAGCCAAAGCCGGAGGAAGGCAGGGGGCAGTGGCCGTGGATACGTCCTCCTGTTTAATGTGGGGGTGTCTTCCGCTTGTGGGTAGGTAAAACCTATCTCTCGAACATGGTGAAGGCCATCCAAGTAGTTTAAAAAGTGCAGGGTATACACCATTTAACAAGCAGCTTCCATTTTCTGCTCCCCTATTGTTTTCCATTTGATTAAGTGTCTCCTGTAAAACTGTATATTCCTGTTAGGAATTACACTTTATCCTGATAAAATGAGATTACGCACACAGTCTTTTCTCTCTTGTTCTGCCTATGGCCCCCACTCCTCCCCTCTGCTCCTGTTGAGAATTCTTGAAAAGTTGTTCTTCCAGCCTGAGAGAGAATGCGGGAGACGGAAGGTTCTGGGATTAGAGAGAGAATCTCAGAGTTGGAGGGGTAGGCAGCAGAAATCCAGACGTGGTTTGGGGGCCCTGGGTAGGCCATGCTCAGTCCCTCCCCCGCCTTTTATTGGGGAATGAAGGCTGCTGCTGGGCTACTAAATAAAGGATTCCAAATGGGCTTACTTGCCTCCGGGCTTCTCTTTCCATTGGCTTCCTGTTTGCCAGCGTGGCCAAGTGGTTCCAATGGGAAACTGGTAGAACACACCCCAGGTTCATCCTGCTGGTGACCTGGGGTGGTTGGGGGACGGGAATTGAACCGTCTAACCCAGTGTGCTTGCAGTGGAGCCACGAAGCCCCTTTCCGGAGCTGGCCTCTCACTATGGCCCTCAGTTTGGCCTTGGCAGTGATGCATGATGAGCTTTCAGGGTCTTGTGTACTTTTGTTTCATGGGGCTAATGAGTTGTGTTTCGTGGGCATTAGGTTTTGGTTTAATTACTCGGAGGGAGGTTGTGGAGTCTGTTTCTCAGCTAGAATTGTCATTAGCCTCGTTAGCGTTTAGGTCACTGTGCTAAGCACCTGAGGGTGACAGAAACATTGAAGAGAAGCTTATAGGCTGGTTAGGGCTTACAGGATCTGAAGGTAAAAGATGAGCAAAGTCGGCAGAAGGGAATTCCAAGTGCCGGATGCCAGAAAAATTTTATAGGAACCAAGGGCAAGGGAGCCTTGCAGGTCTGGGGCTGCCCGGGAAGGTTTCCAGAGAGGAGTTTGGACCAGGCCTAGAAGGAGGTAGAACGTTTCCCCTTCAGCTGGGAGCCTTGTTCTCGGTCCTGATGTGCCGGTGGCTTTATACAGATGTGCACATGAGTAAGATTCATTGGGTTCTTTTTATTTTATTTTAATTCAAAAATGTTTTTCATGTTTATTTATTTTGAGAGGGAGACAGAGCACCAGCAGGGAAGGGGCAGAGAGAGGGAGAGAGAGAGAGAGAGAGAGAGAAAGAGAAAGAGAGACAGACAGACAGACAGAGACAGAGAGAATCCCAAGCAGGCTCTGTGCTGACAGGGCAGAGCCCGACCCCGGGATCGATCCCATCAACCTCGAGATCACGACCTGAGCCGAGATCTAGTACCGGACGCTTAACCGGCCGAGTCACCCAGGCGCCCACCATGGGGTTGTCCTTGAGATTTGTATGCCTCATTATACTTCTGATACATTAGTTAAAAGAGAAAAAAGTCCCTTCAGCCCAAGGGCAGTCTTGAGAAAGTCCTGAAGAACTGGGAAGTCTAACAAGATGAGGGAGACACTGGTCTATGGGAGTGGCAGAGAGGCCCCTGGATCTACAGGAAGGCTTCACCTTGGGGGTTGAGAGCAGAGCCCAGGCTTCCTTTGACCTTGGGAACTACCTGGTTTCCTCAATGGGGGACTTGCAATAAAAGAGAAATTCCAGCCAGTCTGCGATCGAGCCTGACTTGACTAATGATTAACTGGCTGCCCAGAGCCCAGACCGGTGACAAGGTGCTGTGGTCTGTCTTCTGATGGGCAGCGAAGCCTGAGCAGACCATTAATAATCAGCATCGCGGTGGGGAGTCAGCTGTTTGGAATGTGTGGTTTCTCTTTAATGCTGTTTAGAATGTGCTTAAAAATTAATCTTGGTGTTTTTATTTATTTGTTTGTGTATTTATTTCTCTCCTTTTCACATCCACAGCAGACTGTCCAGATGCTGTGCCTTCCTCCGCTGAAACAGGGGGAACGAATTATCTGGCCCCTGGGGGGCTTTCAGGTGAGACATTTTCTCTTATTTCCCTGGCAGTTTCAAGACCTCTTGAAATGACTGGAGACGAGAGGAATCGGGGTGGCCTTCTGCCACCCCAGCTGGTCTGGAATTAATTCTCACTTTTATGTGCTTGAACTGGATGCATCCGTGGTGACTCTGGCCCTTGAGCTCGCCATTCTGCAGTCCCTTACGCATCAGGACCCTGGGCCTGCTCTGTTGAGGAAGTGGGGGCCAGCTGGGGACTGGCATGATGCTGTGTTTCATGGTTATTGTTAAAGCAGCTACTGGCTCTGGGGGCTTCCGCTCGGTGACTTTGGCATTAGTTCATGGGTTTAAGCTTAAGCTCTTTCTTGCACTTGCCCTTAGTGCATGGAGTGCCTTGAAAGGGGATCGATCCACCTTTTGGGAACCCGTTGAAGACAGATCCCAGGCGTAGGGTGGGAGTTCAACGCAGATGTCCTTGATGCTTCTGTGCAGGTTTTAATTCCCAGTCTAGCTTTAGTGCAGGATTCTGTAGCGCGTATCCGGAGACGGGAGCCACAGGATGGAGGCACTGAGGACAGTAGAGACTTGGCAGTGCTACCCGGGAGGGAAGGTCTGGAATGCCAGTGCTGGAGGGTTATGGGAATGAGGGAGGTAGCCTGAGCATCACTGCCCCTGAGGGGCATGAGAAGAGAGTCATAAACTTGTAGGAGCTCATTAGCAACGTAAGTAGGAAGCATTTTCCTCTTTTTCAAAAGACATCCTATTTCTACCTGATTTTCCCACCCAGTGTGCCGTCTCTGGATTTTCCAGGAGCCAGCTAAAGCAAGAGGGAGAGTCACCCGGTTGGGGGGGG